CTGCTCCATCTAAATTTGCCCTTTGAGGATGTGCAGACTCTTTCTATTATATGAAATTAGATGTTTTTGTATTAAATTCCTCCATTTTATTCACAGCAACAGTAACTTTACTGTTATGTTTTATTCCAGGGTCTGGCAAACCGTCTCCATATTATTACTCATCACCCACAAGAGAGGAGCCCAGAAGATCACAGGTGAATATAATATTTCTTCATAAAAGCCTGGTCAGACCTCACAACCTCTCCATTCTTGGCAACAATACAAGCGCATATGAAGGAGCATATAAAGGAACAAACTTGTTTTATGTTTTGTTTAGATCATTTATGTTTTTTCTTTACTTTTTAACTTGGTTCTAAAACCAAGCACGACGCATTAAATATATTTCATTTTACTTCGCAGCCCTTTGTTGTAGCCAAAACATTCACAATCAGTATGGGAGAAAACACTAAATCACATCATCAACTTTACTAGAATATTTTCCCCAGTGACTAACTTTGACCATCACTGTCTGCCACCTTGACTATAACAACACAACATTGGTCAGGTGTTTCTCAAATTTTTCTGAGAATAAAAGTTGTACTTTATTTTTAAGTTGATCTGTTATTCTATGTGGACATTTTGAAGGGATGTAAAGACAAACAGTTAAAGTAAATTAAAGGGAACTCTCACTGCAAAAAGAATAAAGTGAAACTTCCCAGCTCATCTACACCACTTTATAAATACAAAGGCCCTGCTACACGTTCTGCTGCAGTTGCTGCGAATAACTCAGCACATCAGCCATTGTGTGAGTGAGAGTGAATGTGACGGCGGGGATTGGGATGTCCTCTCTGTGTCTCGGGCAGCTGTCCCTGCAGGACACGTCCATGTGTGCCCATTCAGATAACAGACACAAGGAGAGGAAGGGACCGAGCATGTGAGTGTGCTCCAGGAGTTGTAAACATTCCTTGTGGTAGAATTAAATGTAAATCATCAAGTTTTCTTTGGGATCAATAAAGTATTTTGAATTGAATTGAACATGAAAATAGTCAAACTAAAGATACCAAATCTAAATGACAGGAGATTTGATGGTAGATCACATCAAACTGAATATCAGAGTATATGTACTTATCAGATTATGTGTGTACTAAGTTGAAATGTCCATTAAGATTCTTTTCTACTTTATGAATAAATATAAAGCAAAGCCTAAAGCAGCCAGTAACAGTTAAGTCTATACAGTAAACGCTCACACTTCCTTAAGGATTCTGGCTTCCATAATGCTAGAATCCTTTGTTCTATTTAAAAACGAAGAAAGAACTTACTTGCATTTTAGAATGCTTAAGCAAGATTATATTTGCATTTTCTGAATCTGTAGGCTGCAGACTCCAGCACAATGTCACATTGACATTAAACGAAGTGCACAACATGATATTAACAAAGTAAACGGGGTTCCTGTGGGTTCTTGATGTGTTTGTGTACCTGCAGCTTGTGTGACGGTATCGTGGTGGCTGGCTTATCAATGAAGTGTGTGTTGTGTGATGACAGGCTATTCTGGCCTCACGCCAAAGCAGCATCCAAACCAAGTCTATTTTGGGCTGGCAACTCTGAAAGTATTTTATCTCAGCATTTTTGCCAGTGGTCTGCTGGTATCCATATTAATCTCCATAATATTAACAGAAACATCAACAATATATGACTCAGAGACCTCACTAATGAACAGAACAGTCGGATATCATCAGAATAAAAACACCAGTCATTATGAAGGACACCTTGGAGTCTATCCAAGCAATTGCACATTAATGACAAAAAAACAATAGGGCCAAGAATACAGCCTTGAGCAACTCTACTGGAAAGATTAGGCATTTATGGCATGATCTGATTCACATGATACCAAAAGAAATGTAAGAATGGTAAAGATAAAAGTAAACTCAAGAGGTAAAGTCTCCTTATCTGCTGCCAGCAGAATCCCATGGGAGATGTTCTTGGAAACCATAAAGTGGTCTTAGATTTGGTGATGGGTTTCTAACTGTGAAAACTACATTAAATCAAGGAATTTAGAGTAAATTCATTTTAGGAAAACTTCAGTTACAGCTTGACTTGATACAAATTCTTAGAATGAATTAATGCAGGGCCTCTCTGCCTCTTTTCTTGCAGCCTGTGTATTACACAGAAGAGCCGAGTCGAAGGAATTACGACACATACAGGATGTACCTGCAGCATCCTCACGGTTACGACGATGCGTATTTAGAAGAAGTCATCACCTACCCTCCTACAGCAGACTACAGCTCCCAGCCACATGGACTGAAATCCACCTCTAACTATGTGGACTACTATGCTAGCACACGGAGGCCTTCCTACAGGGCAGAACAGTACCCAGGTTCTCCTGACTCCTGGGTATAAGTCTGGAGATGGATCTGCTGTACAATCCAAGAACATTTTTTCCAGACTGATTTCTTCTTTCACCCTGCAGCAGAGGCAAGGAGCAACACAGGAAACTTCTTTCATGAACTTGGGTTTACGAGTGTGTTTGTTTTAAAGTGGATGTGCTTGTATGGAAATGTGAGTTCAGCAGAGCGGCAGCAGATGGAAAGACGGGATGTGTGCCAAAGAGGGAAATCATGGAATGTTTTTAAAGATTATTTTTCATTTCAAGAATGAGATGGAATCATGGCAGTGGGGACGTCGAGGGAGAATCCAGGACACTATTCTGAGAAGGCGTGTGTCATGTCGTGTGTAGATAGTAGCTTTAATTTCTTCAAGGAACTCATAAGTGTGAGAGCATGGTTAAAGGTGTGAGTCATGTTAGCGAGGGTCCGCGGTACGAGTCGAGATGTGGGGGGGAAATGTATGTGCTGAAGCCAAAACGAATCATGAACTCATTTGTAAAGAATTAAAATAAAACAAAATAAAAAATGAACTAATGATGTTAGATTGTACAGAGGGATCAAAGTTTATCTGTACGTAATGTCGAAACTGTGTAATGCAATGGAGTCTTGTACATTTCTTTGATTTTATTGTAAATACAGACAAAAATCAGCATTACTTTGGTTTACACATTAGCACTGGTTAAAAGACTAAACAACTTGTGCCATGTTCTAAAGATATATAAATATACAGACATGTGGAAAAAGACGGCATCGTAACAACCATGTTAACAAAATAAAAGGTCATTTTTGTTTTTTAAACCAGTTGTGTGATTCTCTTTATTCTAACAAATAGCGTGGAAGTGTTCAGAGAGACCTGAGGGCCGTGCTCTCCTACAGTCTGAGAGTTTCATTTCATCTTTGCACAGAAGTGGGTGGATGAAGGAGGCTTTGCTCCTGATGCTTTATGTTCTCTCAACCCAACATTGAGCCTACACCTGTGCAAATCATTGTTTTTTTTTTTAACCTGGGAAGCATTTGGAGCTCATCATGACTGCAAATAGAAAACAAATTGTTCACTTTATTTGACAAAAGCAGGGATTTGTCCATATAAAAATTTTGTGGATACAAATTTTTACACCCCTCACTCTATTTAAGGTTTTTTTGTGTTTTCTCTTTGGTATCAGTTGTTTTTTATTTGGTTGTTTTGTGTGTTTTTTTTTTTTTTTTTCCAGATTGCTTTAAATGAAGAGGAACTTTCTTTATGATTGTTTTTGATCAGCTGCCTGATTAATGAGGGCTGACAGATGCTCTGGAGAAAGTCGAGGTGTGGCTGAACGAAATGTGAGCTGAAAGGAATTATTACTTTGCACGATAAAACACGTAAGGTTCTATTAGTACTCTACCAAAAAGAAATGGATCCACTTGCAGGTCTCTTTCTAAAAATTTGCTCATGTCCAACTGATGCTTTCAGTTTATCTTCTTCAGACAAATGGAGTGACAGACCTTATCATGAGCGAGGAATTTCATCTGTAAGTAGATATAATAAAACTTATACCACTTAATACTGATGCATTGAAGTGAGATACACTACCACATTGTCCTTTATGGGCTTTCATCAGATCACGCCCCACGTGAGCACTGAAGCATCCGTTTTTTAAATAAAAAAAAAGAGAAGAAAACAAAACAAGTTAGACCAAAACCTGTGTTTCAAGGAAAAATTCAGGAAAAATCAATACATACTTGAGTGGTTCATAAACTTGCTGCATGTTTTTTTTTCCAGCACTGCCTCCTTGTTTTCTTTTTTTTTTTATGCATGTTTTTAGGCAGCCACTGTGAATGTGCATCACTATTTTCAAGTGGAATTGAAATTGGAAGAAAACAGTTGGATTCATGTAAAGGTGAACACCATTAAGTTATTAGGTGACCACTTAAAGAAAATGCTTCCACTAGGCGTCATTGGCACCAATGTGAAAGCTGAAAATTTTCAGGTGTTTACTTGTAAAATAATATATATATTGTAAACTTTACAATTGAAAACAATACAACTCAAATGAAATACACTTATTTTAAAAATTGATTCAAATCTTTTAGTTGGAGTGTTCTTGGTTTTGGAAGTCACTGCCATCTGCCAACAATGAACAAATTCAGTCCTGATGTTAGCTTCATGAATTTAATACATATTTAATAATATACTTCTCATTTTATAGAATACTTGTCCAGCACATATAAATGGCTTTGAACTGAACCTGGTTGGTGGGTAAAAGACCAAAGAAAAATGGTGAAATTGACATTTCTTACCACAAAGTTGCCTCACATTTCATAAGATTTCACATCTATATGAAATATGTCAAATGGAAATTTTAATTACGTGTGTGGAAAAGTCAGAAGATAAACAAAGTGACCCTTTCCAAACAAGATTACTTTTCTATGGGCTCAGTAGAAAAGGCCACAACTTTGGTTGTCTGTGAGCATAATGTCCAGATCAGGGGTGCCCAAAGTCTGCGTCCTGCATGTTTTAGTTCTCTCCCTACTTCTGCTTTCATTTCTTCTGGAATAGCTTCAACATCTGTTTGTTTTTAAAGAGAGTGAGAGAGAGAAAAGAGCTTGAAACGGTGGGCGTGTCTGTGGCTTCCTGCAGTTTCTGCGGGTCGCTCCTCCGAGTCTGAGCATAAAAACAAGCGAGTGGGCGTCCACGGCAGTTTGCTGCGGATCTTCTCTGCGCTGCGGAAACTTTCCACAAAAATGGTGCAACAGCTCTCCAAATCTGGAGCAAAAGAGGCTCATCTGCTCAAAGCTGGGCATCCACCAGCAGGTAAACAGGCGCTCGCATCAACTTTTGTAGGGCTTTGTTGGGTTGCTTGAGTTTGAATCGAAGCGTTTCTGTCCTCGTGCTGTTTGACCCAGATACACGGTCACGCAGAAAAACAAACACTGGCTCCACTTTGCAGCCGCGGTTTGAAATATTTCTGGTTTTCTTGTGTGTTGGGTCGCATTATTATTAGTCTACCTCTCTGCAAGACGCTTTTCTGAAAAGCGTCCGGATGTTGGCGGATGTATTTTTGTTTCCTTTTAAAGTCAGGCCTTGTGGCGTAAAACAAAACAAAAAAAAAAAAAAAAAAAAAAAAAACTTGTCAACTCCGCTCCTGCAGGCGCAGTTTGCGCACAAGGTGTTAATCAGTTTACTGCGGCCGCTGAGTTTCTAATGCTCAGAAATGCATCGAGGGGCAAATCTGCCAAAGTCCAAAATATAACTTTACTCATTTATTTATCCAACATGCAAAAATGAAACCTGTGCAGATATTTAAATGCACAAAAATATTGAAACGCACAATGCTTTAGAAATCCATTAAGTGAAAACGGTTTAGTTCATCTCAGATAATCAAATTATTCAATACATTTTTGTTATTTTTATTTGCTACAGTCTTTCTCGAAATGATGACTTAAAACTCATTCTGCAACTCACTTTCTTTCAAACTTTCAAGCGATGCGGCAGAATATCTTAAGAGTTTCACTTTTTCTTTTTTTAAAGTTACATATATTTATATAGCTAATGCATAAAGTCAGAATTGAAATGAACACCCCCTTTTTATGTTTTCTCGTCGTTAGTGAAGGCAGGAGGAAAACGAGTTGCCAAGAAAACCCTGGAGGATGGATCTGGCCATGGGACTCCTGAGAAAGAGACAAAGAGGTCTGATAAACTCGGATCCAACCCTCAATGCATGGAACACGCCACCTCCCTGACTAAGTTAAGAAGCCTTGGCTAATTAAATTAATCTTGTTTGTTTTTTTTGTTTTTTTTCTTTTTTTCAAACCTGTGCAGCCGGTCTCTTGCCACCTCCAACAGGATGCAACAAGTTGGGCTTCTTCTGACTGGGACTCTTGACAAGGTTAAAAAAGAAAGAGAATCTATTTATTTTATTTTATTTTTTGGCTTTCTGAAGTTAATTTAATTTCATCTCGATTTCCATAGTTGCTAACGATAAAACCCCTGCTTGATATTTTACAGCTGAGTCATGACTTTCCAGAGACCCCTGTGAGCGTGAGGCACAGCAAGGTGCGTCCTGCTGTGGAAAGGTCTCACTGCCCCCGGACCTTCTGCATCCAGCAGCCCAGGAAGTGGTGAATTTGCCTAAGAATACCCCAGAGTCTGTTGTGTTCAGTAGGTTGTCAAACGTTAAACTCTTGAGGGGAAATGGCAGGTGTTCTGTGAGGTGCTGATTTAAACTGTTTACTGTTTAGAAGAAAAGCAACTTTCCTTTTGTGCTAAGCTTTTGAAGAAGAATCATGATCTGCTTTTCTTTTCTATTTTTTTTATATCTTTTTGAAAATGCTTTAGTTTTGCTTGCCAACTTATTGTGGGGAAATGCATGAGAAATGGGTTGAAGTAAGTTGATTTATGGATTAGAGGCATGTAGGTGAAGCTTAAAAAGCATTTTCTCTTGTTTATAAGCTTTCTATGCATAACCCTGCATTGTAGATTTGTATAAAAAAAATAAATAGGCTATCACAGTTTGACTTTTTTTTTTATTTTGTGTGCAATTTGCATTGAGTCAAGATGACCATTAGATGGAGCCAAAATACAATTTCTAAGATGGGGCCGACATCAAAATGCTTACAGTATTGTCTAACCCTATACCCTACAAGTATCCTGCATGTTTGCTCTAACATGGAATTGAAATGACTGGATCAGCTCAGCATAAGCTGATTAGCTCATGCATTACTCAATGGCAAAAATGCAAGTCTTGGAACATATTGACGTGACAGTTTGTCAGATCATTCAATTTTAAAATTCACAAAGACAAAGAATGTAAAGTTTAAGGAATTTTAAAAATTCTATACAAAAGGATGCTTTGAATTGGTGCTTAATCCATTTGCTTTGTTAAGGCAAAGTAAAATAAGTTCTTTCTGGGGTGGGAGGCATCTGATAAAAACGATGCAAGAAAAAATGGAGAGATAAAGAATGATGTTTCTGATTTTTACCACAATAAAAACTGATAGCATGTTTAGTGCTATTCAAGAAAATTTATTTGACTCAGTTTTGCATCAGAGCCACTCCTTAGTGGTAAATCAGAACACAAAAAGACCACACCATAAAATTAGTTCTACAACTCTAAGAATTATATTCTGTTTGGCATTTTAGGTTGCATCTTCTCATTTAGTGTGTTTGTGAATGGTTGTGTGGCTCTGCTATGACCTGGAAACCTATCTGAAATGCATCACACCTCTTGTATAATAAATGTGATTTAAAAAAAAAAATACATATCTTTGTTTTGAATCCTAGCTTTTATAAGAAACCTGTAGGACTCTTTTTGGCAACACTCATTTTTGCAGCTCTATGTGACAGGTTTAGTTAAAACCTTGTGAGTTTGAAAATATATTAGCTTATCAAACCACAACCCCAAAATGTGTTTGTGAAGTCTGTGCCCCATTTGTGTTTCTGTGAACATATCCACAAACAATATCTGCTCACTTGTTTGCTGGGAACATACACAACAGTCACTTTGTGAACACAATGTGCTGACATCAGATCCCTCTGTGACCTTCATGCTGTTCGTGGACGCTTTTGATGCCATCTGTGTGCAAAGTTGAGAGACCTCCTCAGGTCTGTTTGAGGAGTCAGAGCAGCCGGTGGTCCCCTGACCTGCAGGCATGGAGCATTTCATTGCCAGTGAGAGCCCATGAGGGGCCCGGGAACTCACATCGGCGCGGCAGAGAAACCCCCCTCTCTGTGGTGGCTTTGTCACAAGGGATGATAGAGAGACAAATATGATGCTGACGTATTCCCATCATTCTTTCAAATTGCATACAATTATATTACCTCCAGAGGGCACCATATACCAGGACAGAACAGCATGGGTGGATTTACAGACACCTTGGTTGTTCACGCTTCAGCCAATAATGCTCTTTTTTAAACACTCCTATATACATTCACAAAAGTGACAGCTAAAGTAACAGCTAATTTTACATCTTTCTTAGACTCAGTATGACAATCGACCACACTGACAATCGATTTGTTACAGTCAATTTATCTTATTAACTGTTAATACAATCAGGAGAGAAAATAACAGGTTGGTTGAAAAGATTCACATCCAACCTGAGATACTGGATCAATACTAGCTACATCCAAAAGTATAATATTCCATTTCTTAAAAAACAAAGGCAAAGATCTTCAGTGACAAACTGACTGCTGTCACCCATACATTTTTCTTTCAAACACTGAAGCAATGTGTTCGCAAAGGAAGGTTGTGTTAGTATTGTGTGCTTGAAAGTGTCGAAAGGATGGAGAAAATGTAAGTTGGGCTGCATTTGAAGGTTTCACATAAAACATGTGGGTGTGTGTTTGCATGATTATCTGATCTATAATGTTCTCGTGATGTCTCAACCAATGACCCCTCAAAATAAGCACAATTTGATGTAAGGCTGCTTATTCCTGGTAAATTTTTATATTCATATAGCCCCATATATAAATATTATGTGAGCATACATTGCATGATTAATTACTATACCATTATGTATTTTATTTGTTGTGGCACGTCCACACTGTTTTTCATTTATACACTGAATAATATGTGTTTGAAGATATTGTTCATATGCAAACCATGGATATTTTCATTTTTCAACTGATGTTCTTTGCTATGATCTATGATATATATATTTTAAAGAAGTAAAGATTTCACCATGACATTTAGCAAAATATATGGTTTTTCTTAAACTACTCTGAAGGGGAAAAAAGAAGCAAATTCTGCTTTGTATTTATTTGGCTTGATCACAGATCACACAGAAACCAAGCAACCGAGGGGACGTGAGGAAACAAAATGAACCTATGCAAGTGATGTTATATTTGAGTTCCAGGGCTTCAGGCTTAAATATTTGAGCCAAAGCTTGACTCTGATGAGTCCCAAAGCCTGAATATAAGCTGCTGTGGATAGAGAAGCTGAAGAAAACAACGATAGCCCACAGAACTTAAACTATTCACTTTCCATAACTGTTTATCCCAGTTGCAGTCTTTTCATCTGGTTGATTTCTGTGCATATTTACCACTGTGGTGATCATCAAAAGTCTTTGGTGAAGAAATCTGTCCACTAACACAATGCATGTGTTTTATTATTGTGTTTAAAACACACAAAACTGCAACTTTGTTAAAAAAAAAATATTCCAGTGGTCCACTTACTGTATATTGTGCTGTTTGAAAGCTCTCATCATAAATTGGTGGAAATACAAATGATTTTATCCTTATTGGTCAAAAGCAGATGAGTAAAAAAAAATTATTTAAATGTTCTTTTCATGTTGATTCTAAAAACCACATTTAAACTGTTGAGAGAGAAAGAACAACAGAATTGTTCCATGTTCCAAGATGAACAGCTGATGATGGCTACTGTACAGTTTCACGTGAAAGCCACAGTTTCTTCACTTCTTGTCAAATGCTATGTATTACCATGAAACAAATATGGATAAACAAAAGCATATAAATTAGTGACATAAATAAAAATTTCTCAGAGGGTATGTGTTGAAAAATGGATATTGAAAACACTCATTAAAGAAAATGAAATGATCAACACAAACTCAGCCAATCTCTGATCAGCTGCTTCTTGCCTTTATAATGTCACAAATATATCTTTTGTAATGTGATCATTTTATAACCATCCAGTAATGAAAAAGAAGGTATTATTTTAAAAGATAAGCTCTAGTTGCAAAATGTAAACTGTTACACTGATTAAAAAGTTTTTCGAGGAAAAATATGGATAAGCAGACATTTTAATTTGGTTGCCCTAATTATTTCATGCCATATAATTCTGCAGCTGATATTATGCTGGAACTGTTGGAGGCTGTGGTTCCTCTGAACACCAAAAATTAAAAACATTGCCCCATCTATTTTTTTCCCCACCTCATTCACTGAACCATTAAAAGTAGAATAAATACATATATAAATTTACATGAGTTTGAATAAGGATTTAGAAAAAAACAACAACTTTTTTTCCCATTGCATTATGTGCCTAGTGCCGAAAAACTTTATGTTTCCAGTGACCTCAGGAAACATAAAGTGAATGCTCAGTTCAAGCTGAGGTGTGCAGTATAACAATATTTATAAAATGCTAAATCAAATACCCACATTTTTCTTAGTAAAATCTGACAACCAAAGCAGGCATGGACTGGAAATAATGGGGGGAGAAAACTGCATGGAAGCTGATCAGCAGCCTTATATGACGTCAGTAGACTTATGATTGCCTTTGGGAGTGAATTGAGAATTTACAACATTCTCAATATAGTAAAATAAATAGAATAGACCTAGACCTTTATAACTGTTTTTTTTTCCAGATGATTATATCAAGAAAGTGACTGATTTCAGAGAAACAATGGTGAGTGGCTTTGAACAATATATAAACTTTTCCACGCACAAACCGAGCTAACATTGTATTACAACTTGCATTTATTTGGGATCAGGAAAGTGAATAACAGTTTTTTATTTATTTATTTATTTTTTGGGGTGGGAGGAGAAAATCTTGTGTGGACTGCATGCTATATTTCTGTCACCCAGCCGCTTTTATCTCCTGCTTCCTTTCATGTCCATGAGGCTTTTCCAGTGAGAGGAGGGAGGACGGGACTTTGTTCACCGGGCTCTGCCTCCAGATGACCTCATGCCGCGGAAAAGAGGAGGAGGAGGAGGAGGAGAAGGAGGAAAAGGAGGAGTCCCGCGTGCTCCTAGTCTTACCTTGCTGAATCAAACTGCTCGGTCTGGGGCTGAGTTCGCGTGGAAGTACGCCGTAAGAACCGGGACAACTTTTTCTTTTTTTCTTTTTCCTTCCCAGCACTGTGACCCTCCATGACATTTACCAGGTAGGACTTTAGAAGTGCTGCTGGGTGGAGGGTGTGTGAGGAGTTCAGGGGAGAATGTCACGTTTAGTAGCTGGAAGTTTGTGAGGAGGCGGAATGCCGAGACATGTCCAGTTGAGGAGCAGCAGGGCAGACAGACAGCTGACTCACTGCGTCCCCGGTTCGATATTTCTGCCTCGTTTTTTTTGTTTGTTTTAGATTCTCATTGTTCGTTTTTGTTTCAGTTCTAAAGCTCGCTGAACTCCGAGGCTCAGTGTGCTTTGAACACACCATTCAAACTCCAGAACTGGCGCTGGATGACAGCGTTTCGCCGCAGTTTCATCACTCTGGACGCTGACGTGAAGAAACGCGTCGCGCGTGCAAGTCTTCAAAGCAGCAGGGCTTTAGTTTGGTTATTTGTTTAAATTTGGTCATTACTGTGGTTAAGTTTGAGTGTGGCTTGTACAGCGGGGTGAGGACGTCCCTCTCAATGTTTAGTTTTCTACTAAAAATATTTCCAAATTGAGGCTGATTAAATATATTTGTTGTTTATACGCAGAAAGCGGTTGAGTTGAACTTGAGCAGCTAAAGTAAATCTCATCTTTGAAAAGAGCTTGTCAAGTCAGAGTGAGGACACCAGACCCTTCTAATTATTTCAACTTCCAGATGTTTTCAGTGGGTTTCAAGTCATGGCAACACCT